GAGAGTTAGGCTAATAACCGAGTCGATCACACCTATCGTCGAGAGCAAGGCCGTGGCGAAGCCGTGATCGAGACAAGACGAGGACACGAACACCCGATCCGTCATTATTGGTGCTTTCATTGAGAGTGATTGATTTGTGTTCGTGAACTTTTCCTATACCATTCTTTTTTCTTTTTTTTGTTCGATTTTTTTGTGTCTTTTGTTCGAAATTTTTCGAAATTTCGTGAGTCAAAAAAAAAAAAAAAAAGTGTCATCTAGTCCTTTTGTTTGATTTTTTCGGTTATTACCTTTTGATTGAAGGGGCCGAATTTTCTTTTTTTTTGCGTTGAAATTTTCGAACTCTTGTTCGAATTTTTCATTTAATTTTTCGATTTTTATAGAGTCAAAAAAAAAAAAAAAAAAAAAGTCTTATGTGCCAATGGACGAGATGGATTGGGAAGATCTCGAATTGTTGGAGAGTATGGAGAGAGAACTTACACCATGGGAGAGCACATATCTAGACGAGCTCCATGAACGAAGAAACCGAGAAGAATACGAGCGACAACTCGTAGAAGGGCAAGGAGCAATGATGGGTGAAGTTCTAAACCGTGAAGATGATGGTGCGCTTAATTTTCTAATCCTTGAGGACAAGGAAATTCTTGAAGAGGAGGGGAATGATACGGAAGTGATCATCAACCCCGGCGAGTCCGACGAAGAAGGTGACGATGGTCTCGCCGTATGGATGGAAAATATGCTGGAAGAGCCAACAAGTCCAATATACCGGCCATCATGTATACGAGATTGGCCAAGAGGTTGTGGTCCACAGGCCGAGTTGAAGGTTAAGAAGTGTCGGGCCAAAAGACGACGCAAAACAAGGGCGCAAAAGGCGAGCCGATGTTGTGGGCCGTGCACAAGGAAGAAACGGGCGTGGCACACGGAGTTCGAAAGGCGGGGAAGGCTAGGTATGGAAGATGGCTGGATATGGCGTGCAAGTGACAGCATGGGGTTGGAGGGTTGGGACCCATGGCCGTCAGGAGACAAAGGGATCGATGAGGACCGGCTATCGGGCGTATGGCGCGCATCGTGCGGTGATGCGCGCAAAAGGTCAAAGGGCCGGGGCGCGGAGATGTTGGACGCAAGTGACGCGCGACCTTGCGCAGGAAGAAGGCAGGCTGCGGGGGTCGGCGAAACGCGAGGAACCGCGGGTGTACGCGGGTGCGCGATAGGCGATCGGGGCACGGGCGTCGATGGTACGCGCGAGCGGGCAGGCGAGCGCGGGAAGGATGCGGGAGCATCGAGCGTGGCCAGCAACCGCGCAATTGGCGAGGACGCGCGCGAACGGGCCGATAGCGAGGACGCACGGGCGGGAGCGCGCGAGTGGGGCGCACATGCGCGAGGCCTAAACCTGGTGGGCTTAGGAGTGTCGAGCGAGGGGGTGCACGCGCGGGGAGAAGTCAGCGGCCAGCGGGAGTGCGCGATGGACGACGCGTGCGCGGACGGACAAGGCCCAGTCCGCGCGGGACTAGGAGAGCGGGACGTACACGCGCATGAGGAAGGCGGCGGCAGCTGGGCGCGCGATTGGGCGACGGACGCGCAAAGCCTATGCGTGGAAGGATTAGGCGAGACGGGGTCGGCGGACGCTGGCGTGCGGGACACGGCGCAAGTGTCCGTGCGCGACGAGGAATGCGAGGCGGCGTGCGCAACGCGTGCGACGCGTGAAGAGTAAGTCGACCGAAGTACTTGGGCGTGTGATGTGGATTTGTTTGGAGTGCAAGCCAAGAAAAATCAAGATCTAGTCAATTTAGGACTTTAGATATTTAGTTTCCTTCTTGCACAATAATATCTAGAATGTATAGGTTATTTAATATTTTATTGCTTTAATATGTTTCCTAGGTAGATTAGAATTAG